AAATAAATTTGACAGAAATAATTCAGTATACAGTTTCGATACAATATTATGCATGATTTTTTTTTGATTCATCTTAATACTAGTCTCTTACGTAATTAAAACGTCTAACTAGTTTTTATTTATGCGTTTAATCGATCATAATTTTTATTTTTCAAATAGTTTCTCGCGATGAGAACGTGGAGTTGTTGTAATATAATTTATCATACTAATCGTAGAAAAAAAAAAAAAAAAAAAAAAGAAATCAGTTACGATCGATACGCACTTCACGATGGCAATGAGAATTTTAATCCGCGAATGAAACTCTACTTGGTTTTTTTCTTTCTTCTTTTTTTTTTTACTTCCTACCCGAATTATCATAATTTATCTATAAGCGAGATAAATACGTGCATGTAATAAAAAATATATATATTTACAGATACTTTAACGGTTTTCTGTATCGATGACTGGACGTTCGTTTATTATATTTTTTTTTTTTTTTAATTAATTTTTTACTCTCGTATCACACTCTTATCTTTGGTACTTAAACGTCAATCGTTCAAAATATTACTTCACTTCGAATTGAGATAAGCATTTGCCATAATAATATTTTTATTTCGAATCAAAAGCACCTTTGTTGTTTCGATTATTTAACGAGAAAAAAAAAAAAAGAAAAATAATTTCCAATCGATTATTTTTAATATCGAGACTATTATTATAAATTTATTTTTTTCTTTTTATATATATATGTAAAGGATCTGAATACCTTGTTTTTTTTTTTCTATAAATAATCCTACGAGATCGATTATATATTTTCAAGAATAAAAAAAAGAAAAGGGATAAAAGATAACGCTTAAATTTTCTACAAATACAATTGTCTCTTATTGTTAGCAAATGCAAAATTCGAAATGACGTTTGTGCAACAAGTGGTTGATAAATTGGTTTCACGATAGTTACGTATGCGCTTGATTATGTTCTAGAACGTAAGATGCCAATACGAAAGGTTAAAAGCAATTTGAAAGTTTAATTCCGTTTATATCGCACATTTAAACAAAAATGATTAGAATGAAATTATTATTGGATACGTTCACCTTGTAATTGTTGTATCGTTGCTTGATATTCAGCAAGTTTCTCATCGACGTAATCTTGACTTTGACTGGCAATAATTTCTGCAGTACTAGGGCCACTTGATTCTTCATCAACTGGTGTATGATCCAATGGTACACCAATATATTCGTAATCACCAGATCTGTATGGTGCTATCAAATATTCCGGTGGTCCACATGGTACGGGAGATGTTGTATCACTTCCAATTGGACTCTAGGTRWARWGTATAAAAKAATATTTYATTTATTAATTAAAATRTTCATTCTCCACCATAATGAAATATATAAACTTTAACAATAAAAAGAAAAAAGATTTGAATAATTTACATTACAGAATTCTACAAACGAAYTRAAARATGATAGCATGTTGCACGTAAATCGATACCAATGGACTTTATATATATATAGGTAAAGTATAAAAGAATATTTCATTTATTAATTAAAATATTCATTCTCCACCATAATGAAATATATAAACTTTAACAATAAAAAGAAAAAAGATTTGAATAATTTACATTACAGAATTCTACAAACGAAYTRAAARATGATAGCATGTTGCACGTAAATCGATACCAATGGACTTTATATATATATAGGTAAAGTATAAAAGAATATTTCATTTATTAATTAAAATATTCATTCTCCACCATAATGAAATATATAAACTTTAACAATAAAAAGAAAAAAGATTTGAATAATTTACATTACAGAATTCTACAAACGAATTGAAAGATGATAGCATGTTGCACGTAAATCGATACCAATGGACTTTATATATATATAGGTAAAGTATAAAAGAATATTTCATTTATTAATTAAAATATTCATTCTCCACCATAATGAAATATATAAACTTTAACAATAAAAAGAAAAAAGATTTGAATAATTTACATTACAGAATTCTACAAACGAATTGAAAGATGATAGCATGTTGCTCGTAAATCGATACCAAATGTCAAGATAAGACTAACTCAACATTTGAAGAACTAATGATACGATAGCGTGACTACTAACAACGAATATGACAATTCTAAGTTTAGTTATATTGGTATTGATACTTACATTACTAACCTGTACCGGTATAAACGGTCTGGGAGATTGATTTCCTTGAACAATGGATGACGGCCAACGTGGTCTTGGGCATTGAATATAACTGTGAGTTGGGTATCCAAAAACTGGTGACATACCAGGTGAAATTGGCATTCCAATTGGTACAGGACTCATTGAATGGACTACACCAGGATATGAATGTGGTGACATTGGACGTGTATGATGGATAGGTGTTGGTGGTCTCCGAGAAGAGGAGGGCGAATATACCGAAGGTGGTTTGAACATGTTAGCTGAAGGTGTGGGTGTGTTTGGTCCACTTGGCGTATTAGCTCTACCTGAGGAACTGCCTGAGGGAGGTCCATGACCTCCTCCTGGCGGTCTAGACGGGTGCTGTGACATTACGCTTAACTATTTCGAAATGTTTTGCACCTCCTCTTGATTTCTATCATCACTGAAAAATAATACGAATAATATAAGATCGAATGTTACGAGGATGCACGATAATATCTCAGTTTTGTCTTGTCAGTTCATTCACAGGTTGAATGAATCAAATTAATAATTATTAAATTCGTTGAAAAATTAAATGATTTAATTATTGAATTAATTTTCAATTTTATCAATTATATTCTAAATTGAAAATTATTAAATGATTTAAGGATTAACTGAATAATTTTATATACATATATATATATTGTATATTTATTATATATTATTATTATTATTATATATATATAATGACTTGTGTGTATTTATTATACGTTCTAATTGTAAAAGAAAGCAATCAACCAAGCTCTCGGTCGCATAGTGACAGTGAGATGGTTAGATCTGGATGGCTCCAGGCCAAAAGTATCTTGAAATAGGTGCCTACATCATTAACGCGTACCTATGGATTCTAATATATATTAATATGAAATCAGAATGTCATGTCACATCAGATATATATATATATATACTCGATGTAGATTAGATTAATTCGATAATTTTTATCGATAAAGCAAGGTCATTGTCATGAATTTCTATTGCAATCAATTACTTGCAAAAACTCTGAATTATAAGATCGAACAATAATTATTTATTATCATTTATTTTTCTATTGTAAAATATAATATTAATCATTAAGAATAATATCCTAGTCGATAAAACATTTTGATTTCAAATAATCGTATTTTACAATTAGATATAAGATAAATACACGTTGGTATCAAGAATTAGTCAAAATTTCTGCACGAAAGTAGTTTAAATTTAAGAAGAGTTCATTGATACCGAAAGGTTTGGCACCTGGAAGTTGAATGACATATAAAACGTAAAAAATGAGTTCGTTCACATTTAAACGATAATCACGTTTGTACTTATTGAAAAAATAAAAATAAAATAAAGAAAAAAAGAACATTTTTGTGAAGCAACTTATTATCTTAAGATATAAAGTTACAAATGAATCATTTTATGTATATCATATATATATATAAATATGTGTGTGTTACATTTATAAATAGATCTTATTTTCTTGGTTGTTGTTTTATTGTACAACCAACAAATACCTATTACCATATACTTTGTATAAAACTGATAAACTTGAAACAATCATCGTTGAATTATTTCAAAACTATATCTTGTAAAGTATTGAATAAGACGAAAACCTTAAGGTTCCCTGTTGGATGATACCGAGTGTAGGCCGACTAAATATAGTGGCATTTCTATTTTTAAGTGCTGCGACGGTTATACACAAGCGTCCGACAAACCACCACCAGGTATATTCACGATGAGTGCATCAGATATTTTAGAAAGTGACAGACACACATATTAGCACCCGTAATCACCCTTTCCTTCCTTCCTTCCTTACTTACTTACTTACTTACTTACTTCCAGTCACATCTTAGACACGTGTATACGTGAGTAATATTTTTTTTTCCCTCTCTCTTTATTTCTCTCTCTCTCTCTATATATCTATTTCTCTTATGTTATCATTATTCGGAGTATATGTATTATTTTCACGGAATATTACGTTTCTTCAAAAACGTTCTCCAGTTCTGAAGATAGTCAGTCGGCGGGTACCCACCGATTATGACCATGACCCATTAAACCAATGACGCAAATAAATATAATGGGTGTAGACGTTTGCAAAATGTACATCAGAATATTTTTATTCCAAAAAATATTAATCAAATTAATTGGCGCGTGAATATAATATATTTATATATATATATGTATAATATAAATGTTATTTAGTTCCAAATAAAATACATCTTTTTGTGTGTGTGTTTTTTTTGTTCTATGGTAGAAAAAAAAGAAAAGAAAAATTATTCGCGAATTGTATAACGTTATTAAATAAATATAAATATTATATTATAGGTAATAAATATCATTTATATTATTTAAAAATCATTATGTATAATAATATATATGTCGAAAAATAATTTCATAAAATAAAGCATCAATTAGAATTATTATCTCAAATTTGGGGAAGAATAATTTACTAAATGACATTTCTATTGTTTTTTTTTTTTTATAATTTCAAGTTTTATATACATTCTTTTTTTTTTTCTTTTTATATGCATTTACGCGCAATTAATTTGATTTCATTGTCAGAACGTATGCAATTAAATTTTCGCTACATCATTTTTTTTTAAATTAAATCTAAAACGTTTCTAACGTGTAAAAACAAAAAGAATAGGATGCAATTGATCAAAAATAATAATATCCTATACATACTTATAAAAAATAAGATCTTAACCCTTTGCACTTCTATGTCGAGTGTGACTCGACATCAGTTTTTATCTGAGGAGTTCTTTTGTCGAGTCCCACTCGACATTTTTTTTACTATTATCTTAAACTGATTATAAATATCTCTCGTCTTATTTAGTAATTAATTATTAGTCCAATTAAAAGTATTGGGAACTGCTGGTGGTAATCCTTAATTGAAATATAATTCGGAATGCAAAGGATTAACAATATTAAAAAATTGGATTTTTCGAAATCGTTAAAATATAAGTTTACGAATATCAAACTACATTTTTCTTTAGATAAGTATTACGCAAATATGCTAATTAGTTAATTCTATTCTGTTAAGTAAAATGTGTATTTTACTGTTCATTGTCTAAAACTTTAGCAAATATCAATAGATTAGATTATATTGAGGAGGGGGAGGAAGAGGAGGAAGAAGGAACATTGAATGAAAAATTCATTATTCGATTTTTAGATGGATTATTCCGATGGAAGAGACATAAAACGGCGTAGTACCAGTCTCTGGATCCTGGACCTCAGATGCTGCGTCCAAAAATAAAATCTCTGCCGAATTGGTGATCAGAAATAGTACCGTTCGGAACGGATGTCGTTGACAGAGGTTGCTCACATTGGCCCAGCAATGGGCAAGTTATTGGAGCTCATCCATCGACTAACATTCACCCACGTGAATCACAATGATGTTGCAAACATGTTTTTCTTGTTATTTTGTTATTCGCTAACATACGATCCAATTAAATACTCCGATAGTTTAAACCTAACATCTTGTATATATATATATATATTCAAATAGCAATAAAATATATGTGTAATACCTATTTAAAGTAGAATCTGGATATACTACCTATCTAATGATTATTATTTTACAAACTTTTATACAAAGTTATCCAACGAAATTTAATATCTCGTATATATATCCAAATAGCAATAAAATATTTGTGTAATACCTATTTAAAGTAGAATCTGGATATACTACCTATCTAATGATTATTATTTTACAAACTTTTATACAAAGTTATCCAACGAAATTTAATATCTCGTATATATATCCAAATAGCAATAAAATATTTGTGTAATACCTATTTAAAGTAGAATCTGGATATACTACCTATCTAATGATTATTATTTTATCATACAAACTTATCCAACGAAACCTAACACACACACACATCTCGTATATATATATGAATTATATTTAAATACCAATAGAATATATATGTAATATCTATTTAAAGTAGAATCTCTCGATATCCTATCTTATGATTATTATTTTATCCATAAAAAACTTATCCAAGGAAACAACAATTTAGAGATCTACAATCGTAAAGATCCCAATAATACTCACCGAACAAATCCCGAAGTAAACGTGTCGGTTGTAATCAACGATGAAATTAAACAAATGTTCCGATCAAATAAATTCACACGAAATGAGGCGGTGGAAAAACTAAATTCGTAAAACGCACTTTTTCTGATACAATTCTTTCCGGTGTGTTCTCCTTCTTATATATTATACAATTTACAAGGATGTGATCTTCTATCCTGAAGAATAATATGAGGGAAGAGTGGATGGGTGGGTGGATGGGGGCGGCAAAAATATAACGTTGTTACACTAAAATTGATAACTTCTCGTCGAATAAATTTAATATACGGAAAAGAAGAACAATGAAAAAAAAAACAAAAAAAGGACAAAGGAAAAGTAATCGTATATATTGAGAGATAATAATAATAATAATAAAAAATGAGAAACGAACCGAAAAGAGCGTTTATATCGTAAGATAACCGAATCGTCTACCTCTAGTCCGTGACCAAGTTCATGAAGAGACTGTCTTCTTCAACATCCGCGTCATCGGTCCACGGTGGGCGCCGCGACGCTTGCCGGCGCTTTTATATTTAACTTTGGCATCATTCGACGTACGATTTAACAGCACCCGTTCGTTCGTTTCCTTTGCTCTACCCCTTCATCCACGATTTTCTTTTTCTTTTACTATATTTCTTTCTCTTTCTTTTTCTTTCTTATACACACATGCATACACAGACACACAGCAGACACACCACTCCTCTCGTATTTTCTTCGTAACCGCCCTATATTTCTCTTGCGCTTTTTAACTTTGATGATGATGACACGTGGCTTAACGTTCTTGTCTTCCTTGCCTTTATAGATCATCGATAATTTTGGTCGTTTCTGTTGTGTGGATGAAGAATATAATTCATTGATAGAATACCGATGATTCAATTTATCAAAAATTATATGTGTGCGGATAATTCAATTAATTGTTAAACTTTTCGTCGGTTTTGTTATATATATATATAATTATTATTATAAAATTATAATTGTGTAAAATTTTAACTTTTTTAATACATAGTTTCATATACAAACGCTAAGTAAATTTATTAAAATAAAAAATATACTTTATATTTTATATTAGGTATTATACAAATGTATATTTATGTTGTATAAGTTAATTTTGTAAATTATAATAATTATATATTTGAATACTATTAACTTCCACGCGTATCTGGGATTTATAATTATTTATAAAGCTTGTATTAAAATGATATATTTTAAAATTTGAAGAATTTTTTAAATGACGGACAAGTCACTACCACGTTTTCTATTTTTCAAGTGTGCCTTAATTATTTCTAAAAATTCTGGACGATCGAGGTGTGTATAAGCAACCGAAAACATTTGTAATGCTATTGTTTGAACATACACACTACCGCTAGAAAACAAATCATGCGCCAATTCTAAACAAGTTCCAAAATCACATTCGTCTGCAGCTATTGTTGCAAGACGTACAATCTCGTCGAGTTTGCACATTATTTTTTTACGTTCTTCTGACGAACTTGCTTCGTCCATTTTCTTCAATATTTGTTGTAATTCTTCTAAAATATTAATAATAAAAAGTTATACTTTAATTTTAAACAGATACATAAGAGTGACATTATAGAAATATTATAAATTTCTTACTATCTGTCACTGATAATTCTCTGTAACCCAACTGCGTTTTCTTATTATATGGTACTACGATTCCAGCTTTATGAAACGTTCTTACAATAACTTTTTTCTCACGATTTATCATTTTATCCGTTTTTTTCTCTAAAGTTATATCATACTTTTGGGCAAATTCTTTTAATTTTTTTTGAAGTTGTACTATGCTTGTCTTTTCAAATAAATTAGCTGTTTTCCATTTGTCTTCGATGCAAATACTGCAATTATATAAGTAGCATTTTAAAAAATTATGCAAAATTATATAATTGTATATTCTGATGCATATATTACATTGTATCGATGTGTGATAGAATGCTGGTGGTATATTATGATGTGTTTCACTTTTTTAATAACAATAATTCCTATTTATAAAGAGTCTTTATAAATAGAAGCAATGAAAGTGTTTTGAGATTTATGAAAGACGAGATGACACACGAGTCACTATGTATATCTTTTTACATTATGCTTCGACATAACAAAATACTTACTTAATTGCACCGAATATATTTTCTGCAACAGGTTGTATTATACAATCTATATCCGCCTTATTTTTAGCTACGTATATTGGCTTTTCATTACATTCATCTCTCCAATATCCTAAATGTAAGCCATCTTTGTTTCCTCTAATAATTGTCTATAAAGAATAAGGATATATTATAACGAAAAACTTATTGCAATATGCTTTTAATTATAGTTACTTTTAATTATAAGTTTTGAAAAAGCGAATGTATTTAAATATTAATTCTAATACATACTTGAAATTCTGGTGGATCATAATAATATCTCCAATGTCTAAGATATTTTTCTTTATCATTATTTTTATAACTTTTTAATTTATTACTTATAATATCAAAAGGACCCACAAGATAAAGATTAATAGATTTAAGTGCCATTAATGGTTCTTTTTCAGAAATAAGTTTGCAAAAATCGTAAAATTGATAGAAATCTTCTGGCATTTCAACTAATAATAAATTTTTAATATTTTCTTTTATACAAGTTGGAGATAATATTGTGCATGTATCTGTACAAGAATCATCGTCATTGACGTGATTACTGTTATCTGATGATACATCAGATTCTTCTTTAATTTCTGCAGTATTATCATCAATTACTTTTTCATCATTTGATGTTGTGACCAAATGTTTGTCACCGGTTTCTACATAATCAATAACATTTTCTGTATCGTCTACATTAGTATTAATAAGATCAGTCTTAACTTTTTGAATTTTACTTGGTACAGAGATAGGTACTGCTTCTTCCTTATTATCATCATCATCATCTATTTCTGCAATTTTTCTTTTATTCCCAATTAATGGTTTACGTTTAACTATATTTGTTTTCTGTTAATAAAATATATATTTTTTTAAGATTAATATTTATCCAATAATTCAACAAATTACGCTAATGATTTTTTAACATAATTAAGTTAATACTTCTTTTTCTACAGAATTACAAGCTGAATCAATTAATGTAACAAAAGATATATGATTCCATTTAAAAATACGAGCATGACATTTACAAGAAAATAAATTATGTCCAGTTACGTGTTTTAAACTATATAAATACAAAAAATCTTTTGATAATATACATTGACATTAAGGAAAAATTATTTCTTTATAATATCATAAAATTATAAAAAATAATATCACACACTTGTTTATTTGAAGGCGGGTGTTTATATTTATCATGATGCATTTGATTTTTTTGATAACATTTTACGCCATAACGACAAGGTATTCGTGAATCATTTTTGTAAGCAAGGAATGCTTCTTCTTTATCATTATCTGACATATTATAACGAAAAATATAAAGTTACAAAATTAAAAACAAAAAGTAATATTTTCACAAATAATTTTATAGGTTAACACTTTCACTGCACTATAACGAAACATAAACTACAATGCACGCACTCTAGCGAAAATAATTATAACTAAATTATTAAAATGCGACATCAAGCATGGTGTTGAAAATATGAACTACTATTGCACGTGATTATGCAACACCATGGTGCTGCAGTGCAACACTGAATGCAGTTTACCTTCTACGTTCTTAACATAATCATATATGTGTTTCATTTTCATATTTAACCTCATACGAGTAATAGATAAAAAGACATTATTATAGTGTCAGTTTTTAGATATCTTCTAAAGAAATATTGAAAAAGATAAAAAGAAAAAGTACTTACATATGTGCTTGAGGTGTTATAAATAAAATAAGAAAGGAAATTGAGTTTTGAATACGTGGGTTTTTGAAATTTCTTTAATTCAAAGAATCTTGTGTTGCCAAGATCAAATTAATTATATTATATTTATTACATAGAAAGTCGGATTTAATCAACCATCATTATGGAAAAATCACAAAAAATGCCCAAAGTGGCTAAGGTAAAATTATTATACATAATTCTATAGATTTTATTTTATAATTATACATTATAACACAAATTACTTATTTTATAAATGTTCAATTTATGTATATAATTTAAATCTTTTTTTAAAGGTAAAAAACAAAGCACCAGCTGAAATACAAATTACAGCGGAACAGCTGTTAAGAGAAGCCAAGGAAAGAGATTTAGAAATTTTACCTCCAGTAAGGATAACAATAAAACTTTTATGCAATGAAACTTTTAACTATATTTTAACATATTGGATTTACTTATAAATATTATTTTTTAGCCACCTAAACAAAAAATCTCAGATCCCCATGAATTGGCTGACTATCAACATCGTAAACGAAAAATGTATGAAGATAATATACGTAAGAATCGTATGGTTATAACTAATTGGATAAAATATGCTCAATGGGAAGAAAGTCAGAAACAAATACAAAGAGCGAGGTACTTCGAGTAGAAAATTGTAAATTTTAAAGTATTTGTATTAGAAGAATCTCAAAATTAAATATGTTCAATTTATTTTAGATCTATATATGAACGGGCTTTAGATGTTGATCATAGAAATATTACACTATGGTTAAAGTATACTGAAATGGAAATGAGAAATCGACAAATAAATCATGCTAGAAATTTATGGGATCGTGCTATTACAATCTTACCTAGAGCCAATCAGTTTTGGTACAAGTATACGTATATGGAAGAAATGTTAGAAAATATTGCTGGTAAGATTTGTGATATTAAATTTAAAAATATGATATTTAATTATGTGTAATTTAATTTAATATAAATTGTTTATTATAGGAGCACGTCAAGTTTTTGAACGCTGGATGGAATGGGAGCCAGATGAACAAGCATGGCAAACATATATTAAATTTGAATTACGATATAAAGAAATACAAAGAGCGAGGGAGATTTTTGAACGCTTTGTAATGGTACATCCAGATGTAAAACATTGGATCAAATATGCACGTTTTGAAGAATCCAATGGTTTTATAAACGGTGCTCGTCAAGTTTATGAACGTGCAGTTAACTTTTTTGGAGATGAAAGCTTGGATGTCAAGTTATTCGTAGGATTTGCAAAATTCGAAGAAGGACAAAGAGAAGTATATATTATTTTAGGATAACACAATATCTAATAATTCAATACCTAATATAGTAATTATAATTTTAATAATTCTTTGGCAGCATGATAGGGCAAGAGTAATCTACAAGTATGCTTTAGATAATATTTCCAAAGATAAAACAGAAGAAATATATAAAGCATATACTATACATGAAAAGAAGTATGGGGATCGTTCAGGTAATTCACATTGTTAAGATTAAGATTGATTTAATTTAAAATATAAATTAAAACATTTTAATTTTCAATAATTATAATATAAATTCTATGCATTTTTTAAATATAGGCATCGAAGATGTAATAGTTAGCAAGAGGAAATATCAATATGAACAAGAAGTAAAAGAAAATCCTTCAAACTATGATGCTTGGTTCGATTATCTGAGATTAGTAGAATCTGAAGGAAATCCTGATATTGTCAGAGAAACTTACGAACGAGCTATAGCAAATGTTCCTCCTACCAAGGTAAAGAATATCTAAATTTCCAAAGTTTTGAAATCATATTATAATTATTTTTTATATTATAAATTTTTGTATATAGGAGAAACAATATTGGAGACGATATATCTATTTATGGATAAATTATGCCTTGTACGAAGAACTTGACACAGAAGATATAGATAGATGTCGTCAAGTTTACAGGTATACAAAATTAATTAATTTGATATAAAATTATTATCATCTATATAAAGTTATAACTTTATACTATTTGATTATTTTTTAGAACTTGCTTAGAACTAATACCACATAAACACTTTACATTCTCTAAGATGTGGCTACTTTATGCGTTTTTTGAAATACGACAAAAAAATTTGACTGTAGCGAGAAAAACATTGGTATGCTATTATTATAATTATTTTTGTGTTGTTATTTATAAATATTGAGAATGATGATATTTTTAAATATTTAATTTAGGGCATGGCATTGGGTATTTGTCCCAGAGATAAATTGTATCGTGGTTACATTGATTTAGAAATACAACTCAGAGAATTTGATAGATGCAGAATTTTGTATGAGAAGTTTCTTGAATTTGGACCTGAAAATTGTACAACATGGATGAAAGTAAATTACTTTTCTTATATAGTTTAATTTATTTTATTTTTCATTTTACTTATATTTATATTTACTCATTATAATGCTTATTCATCAGTTTGCAGAACTAGAAACTTTATTAGGAGATGTTGATCGTGCCAGGGCTATTTATGAATTAGCTGTGTCTCAACCAAGGCAAGTTATATTTCTATAAATTGCAACTAAATATAATTAAACTATTATTCTCATTTAAAAAAAAAAAAAAACAAAAAAGAAAAATAATTAATATCTCTATCATATTATTTTTTATTATTTAGGTTGGATATGCCTGAACTTTTATGGAAATCGTATATAGATTTTGAAATATCTCAAGATGAAATAGAAAACGCTAGACAATTATTTGAGAGATTATTAGAACGAACACTTCACGTCAAAGTGAGTTAAGATTTTGTATTGTTGACACAATTATACATATAAATTAAGCACAATATTTTTTATTGATTTATAAATATTTTTATAATATTATATTACAGGTTTTGATAGCATATGCCAAATTTGAATTAGCTAATTCTCCATCAGAAGATATTGATAATGTTACTTTGGCTCGGAGAATTTTTGAACGTGGGAATGATGCATTACGTTCAAATGGCGATAAAGAAAGTAGAGTATTACTTTTGGAAGCATGGAGAGATTTCGAAAATGAGAAAGGGGATGAAGAAAGTCAAAATAAAATTATTGCCAAAATGCCTAGAAGAATTAAACGAAGAAGAAGAATTGTTGGAGAAGACGGAGTACGTAGTTTAATATTAAAAAAAAGTTTTAACAAAATATATTTAAATATAAAATAATATATACATATACTTATATTGTTTTTTATTGTTTTAGAATGACGGATGGGAAGAAGTGTTCGATTTTGTATTTCCAGAAGATGAATCCCAAAGACCAAATCTTAAATTTTTGGCATCTGCGAAAGCATGGATGAAGCAAAAAACCTCTACCGAAATTGTTCACAATGAAAATAAACAATTAGAATCAGACAATTAAAAGTATTTCTATATTTCTTACATTATTAATCTTTATTCCGTAAAATGTAATATATAACGATTAAGTACAATTTTATACTTAAAATTATTTGGAAAGTTTAAATAATGTGAACGAACATTATGCTGACTGTGTGTGTGACATATTTTATATGTAAATATAGTTTATATTTTATATAAATAAAATTGATTTCGAATAATATATAATGGTTAACCATATTATAATTTATTATCACTTATAAGTAACATGATACTATTTAATAACGGTAATACAGAAATTTTTACAATATCTTATAATTAATAATTATTTACCATAATATGATATAAGATACTTTTTAAAAAATAAAACAATACAAAAGGTATAATAATTTTCCTATCATTGGAATCATACAGAGAATACTCGATAACACTTGAATTATTTTTAAACAATTGCATTAACAAATTTACGATGGTTGCTTAGTAACAAACGTTAACTAACTATTTTTTATTCAGTTTGGATCAGACGAACGCTGTATGAAGGCGTTCCAAAAATTTCTAGTAATTATTATAGAATTTTAACAATGTTTTCCCGAGCCGCTAAATCCGTTGTCAAATCTCTCAGTCAGCGTAAATATTACGCTGGTGAAGATAATTTGAAGGTATATTTAAATATGAAAAAATATTATTCTAATGAAATAACGAGATAAATAATATTCACAATCAATTGCAGATAACATTGATTGGGACGACTGAGGGAGTTCATAATTTAAAAGCATCACGATTACCGAAATATCAATATTCAACATTAAATACCATACCCATTTACGACGTGGCTGGTATTAATAAAAAATCATTATTCACTCAAAATAGATCCCATCATTTTAACGAAACTAAACCATTTTGTCACGAGGTGAGAGAATTTTTCTTATAATTTTTTGTTTAAATATAATTTAAATATAAAAAGTAATATAAATGTATGATTTTATATATTATCTATTTAAAATAGAATTCACGAATGTTAACGCTTATGGGAAAATCACGATCGTATGAGTCAACATCCAAGCAAGATTCTACGATGAAAGAGAACAACAGGCTATCTTATTTAACCGATCATCGAAACAATGTTAACGAAATGAATAATGAGAAACTCGTTGAAATGTTACACCGTTTACCGATCGGCGAAGAAGTTGGCTCGATTAATCAACGTTTTGCATCAGAGGTAAGAATAATAAATATTACATTTTCATTATTTATTCCGTATTATTTTCTATTGTTATTTTATAAAATGCATACAACGTTGAAGGATGTAGATTATATCGTTCACAAGTCCAAACAATGAATT